GACATAGATTTGCTAATGTGCATTTAATCACCAAAGGACTGAAGATGTCTGGGCTTTTATTCTGTAATGTTTCTATTAAGACTGTGTCCATTAAATGCAAACAAAAAAGGAAGAAATCTTGGCAGAACAGGAGAAGTGATGCACACTTGATGATCGGATCGATTTAAATATTATTCATGGCATATAGCCTAGTCCATGCTCTAGCTGCAGACAAGAACAAACATGTGATTAAGTCAGCTGTGGAAATGTCATGTTGTGATCTCTTAGATTTATGTCATCTCCTATAAACTGAATCAAGGCTGAAACATTTTCTGTATGTCTAATTACAATACAATGAAAATAAATAAAGTTTTACAAAATTCATCAGGATGAAAAAAGTTGTGTCCCCTTCATTTTTGGATAATAACATTCCTCAACAATTTTGTTCAAATTTTACAGGGAGAAGGTTGTTGATTCTAAACTCTCTAGCTATAAATTGCTGTATGCTTTAATCAAAAGGATTAGAAAAACAGCATAAAAGAGTTCAATTGTTCCAGTATGTTTACATATTACTAGATGAATGATGTACACTCAGTATTGGTTAAATTCAGTGTTGTTAAATCCAGATTCCAAGATCTCCCAGTTATATGCTATGCATAAAATTTTGGGGTTCCATAACAGGCCATGAAGTGGAGCTTGAACATCATACTTGTGTACTGTAATCAGCATCTAATTTAATACTACCTTTTCCCCTTGCCCTTGCCAAGAACTTTTAAAAGCTTTTTAAAAGGTAGCATAGATTTGTTTTAAAAAGTGGAAGTAGTGTAAAGGAGAATAAATATTAAATACCTGTTTCTATGGCTTGGGCTTCGTTGGTCTTCCACTGCTCCGCTACATCATTTGCTAATGGATCATCTGGATTAGGAGCACTTAACAAAGCCTGGATCGATAGCAGAACTGTGCGGATCTGCAGTGCTGGGGACCACTTATCTATGAAGGCAACAGGCTCAGTATGATATATGATATGATATGATATGATATGATATAGCATGAAAAAAACAGGCCCAGAACTACTGCATCTCCCTCCCACAGACCACTGTGGTCTTACTATTAGGTTACAAGTTACAAGGTTACAGTGTTTACATTCTAAATATGGAATGCATAAGAAAGAAATCATACTACTTACCTTTCAATATATCTAAACATATTCTTCCCAACTTGTCTACATTAGGATGATAAATTTTGGTCATGAAACGTACTTTAGGTGCTGCCATTGGGTATTCTTCTGGAAGGAATAGTTCAAGTTTAAAAGTCCCTCCCTCAAAGGGGGAATCCTGGGGGCCAGCAATGACCACATGAAAATAACGGGCGTTGCTCTCATCTGGTTCTGCTTTAATGCCAGGAACTGGTTCTGCCAGCAAACGCTGGGTTTCCTACAACAGAAAAACACATTTGTGAAACAAACGTCAATTCATTGAACAACAAAATTAAAGTTAGAAAGTTCATCTCTTGGATTTAGACATAACAGAATGTCTCCAATCTCCTGATGGGTTATTTGGTGTTTATAAAATGCAAACTTCAAAGAAAAAAACATCTTAGTCATTACAACCAACAGAATGCAATGCAAGAGAATATTGATGGCTTATCATACATTTTAGCTAGAAATATGCTGATAATAAAATTAGGTTAATGAGCCAGGCTCGGTGGCACACACCTGGAGGCTGAGACAGGAGGATCATGAGTTCAATGCCAGCCTCAGCAACTTAGCGAAGCACTAAGCAACTCAGTGAGACCCTGTCTCTAAATAAAATACAAAATAGGACTAGGGATGAGTGTCCCTGAGTTCAATTCCCAATACAAAACACACACACACACACACACACACACACACGAAAAATGCTAGAGGGGAAATATACATCTCCATGCTTACTGCTCTCTAAAATTGAGAAACCTCAAGGGAACCTTTAATAATTCCCATTATAATCATACTATTAGTTCTATTTTTTCATCAGTTTCCTGGTCTCCTAAATAACACTAGCATTCTTCTCTTTTCAAATCTCTAAAATTCTCCAACCTCACCCTCACTTCTGACTTAGGCCTTGCTTTCTATGTCAAAAGAAAACAAAAATTTCCCTGAGTTCTCATGGTAGCATTTGCACCTCTACCTGCATCTGCGTTGCCCAAATACTCCATCCTCTCCTCCAATGTTATATATGCACTCTTGACTAAGTCCAACCTCTCAAGCACTAGATCTTGTTTCCTCACCTGTTTAAGGATGCTACTCCAGCACTGAATTATCAAATCTCCTCTCTGTACTGGCTCTTTTCCTAAACCACACAAACTCCCTACTATTCCTCCAAGAGTAAATGACCAAAACCCACTGCTCCTCCCATCCCCCCCACACCAGTTACTGCCCCACTGCTTTCCCTACTCTTCCAAAGTGATGTACCATTACTTGCTCATTTCCCATTTCTACCCCCTCCCCTTACCCCCATCATGAGCACACTCTCCAATTGGGGTATAGTCACTAACCTGCTTAAGGTCACCAATGAGTCCCACAACAGTTAGACCAAAACTGAACATCTCCCCCATCCTATCTCCAAATTTTTCCTCCCCAAAGTCTTTTCCATATTAGTCAATCCCATTTCATCCAATTGACCTACCCTTTTCTATATGTCACATATCTTATGTGATCAGCAATTTCTGTTCTGAAAAACCTCAAAACTCCTGCTGGGGTGGGTACAGCTCAGTAATAGAACTTGTCTGAGGCCCTGGGTTGAATCCCCAGCACCAAAGAGAAGGTGTTTGGGAGAGGAAAGATGAAGGAGGGTGGACTTCAAAATCTACCATAGTTCTCACCACTCAATTACAATACCTCTGACCCAAGCAACCAGCAGCTCTATCTGGCATAATGCAATATCCTTTAATTTTCTCCCTGATCTCATGTTGCTATCTACTAGCTCTGATTCTATTTTCTACAGATTTTTAAAAACCCTTATCATGGACTTCCCCCAAAATGTTTATGATTACCTCACTCTGTCTACTTCTCTAACTTCTCTAACCTATTCTCCTCCCCATCCCCTTTGTTCCAATCAAGTCAGTTTCCTTTTAGTTCTTTAACCTACTAGGCAAACTTCCATCTCAAAGGCTTTGCACTTGCTCTCTTCCCCCAAATTTCTACATGGCTTTTCCCCTCAGATGCAAAAGATCTTCAATCAATCATGTTTTCTCAGTGAACCATAATTAAAATTGCAGACCCCATTCCACCTTAACCCACACATTCCCTGTCCCCACCCCACTTCATAACCATGACAAACAAATCAAACCTCCCTTTTATTTTGCTCAGAAAATAGCACTATAAGAGGAGGAATTTGAATTTAACCCACACACTCCCTGTCCCCACCCCACTTCATAACCATGACAATCAGATCACATCTCCCTTTTATTTTGCTCAGAAAATAGCACTATGAGAGGAGGAATTTGAATTTATTCACTGCAATATCCTCAGCATCTGGAACTATACCTGTCACCACAATGGATGTCCAATAAATATCTGTTTAATTTTGAATAAATGAGTGAAGAATAAACTATCAGAGTTGCATCTTTACTCAATAAAGCTATGGAGAAAAAAAGAAATGCATCTCAAATAAAGCAGGTTTTTTTCAAAGCAGGATGTGTACATCATGGGAGGAAAACAAAAGGATCCATTTCAGGTGGAGAAGAAACAGTCTAACTTCTATTTATATCAAAACAGAAAAACATTAATTTTAATATGCAAGCTGACAATAGTATATAACATATATTATTGATGCATTTTCAACATTCTGAAAAAGGCAGATGTAGTTAAACTAAACTGTTATACTCAAACAAATTTTTAGGTATGAAAACCAACAAATGCTTAAGAAAGTTGTACACCTTATCCTTTTGTCCTACAAAAGGATACACACACACTTTTCCTTCAGCATAGTTACATACTGATATAGCTATCAGATGTAGATACAGATCTTCCCTTCCTCAAATGTGAAAGACCCACAGCCACTGAAAGTAATACCTTTGGTACTTTCATTCAAGACTAGTTTTTGTTATGATGTTATGGCAATGCAAGGACAAATGTGAACTACTTCCAGCAAAATGTTCTTTAGGTTCAAAGTAAAACATTTTCAGGGCATTAAAAAGTTCAAGAAGACAATAAAGAAGCCTCATACCTTGAAAAGTCAAAATGTGACTAGAAAAGGGGGAAAAGTACAAACACTAAGAAAGAACAGTAGAGTACAAGAATGGAAAAAGGACTGGATAGGAAGATTTCTTGAATTATGGGGTCTCCTCACCTCCATCTTCCTTTTGTTTTACCTCTAGTTTATAAAGATGGGGGACAGGGGTGATCAGGGTCCAAGAATCCCAAACTTACCCGCTCCCTGGTTATACAAAGTATAGCAGTTCTATTTAAAGCTACTAAAAAGGCCTCCAAGATCAGATCCCAAAAATAGCTTCAAAATCACACTGAGTACACACTGGCAGAGATAGATATGACACTAATTCATTAGTTAGTTCATCTTCAAAGTCAAGATATTCTTCCAGAAGAATGCATACTTGATCAATCTTAAGATTTAACTGGAACACATTCTAGAATATATTTTTTAGGTGTGGAAAACATTTTGAATCAGTTTTTATATGCACCCAGGTTCCAACAGACTTAACACAGTCAACAGATATATAACTGAATAAACATTGTTGATTTTCCAAACCCACAGCATAAACTGTGGGATGAGAAAAGAATAAAATCCAAACCAAATGGAACCAGTCTCAGACAACCCAATGTTAAAGTCTTACCCACAGAAGTTGATGGCAACTTTTTCCCTAAAAAGGGAAAAACTAGGTAGGAAATAAAATCCTTCTTGCTACTATCCAAAAGACGGTTAACTGAAATATCTCTAAGTTTTATATCATTCTTTGACAAAAAAGACAGAAAAGAACAGCATGATTTCTTTAAATCCAAAGGTAAAAGTCTCAAAAATTCCTACTGCTTCACTTATTTTTGAGCAAGCATGCTCTGAGCCAGAGGAGGGTTTAAAGCAATCCCCACAACAAAATTTGTCCTTTCACAGTTCCAGTTGTCCTTAGTCAGTCTCAGTCAAAAAAGATTAAATGGAAGATTCTATAGAAATAGAAAATATGTAAGTTTAAATTATGCACCATTCTAAGTAATATGATGAAATCTCTCACTTGTTCCACCTGGATATGAATGAATCATCCCTCCTTGTCTAGCCTATTCACAGTGAATGCACTCCTGGCCTGTTAAGTCACTTAGCAACCATTTACCAGCAGTTTGTTATCAGATCAACCAGTACTTGTCAATCAACCAATACTTGTATTCAAAAAGCCTTCATTTTACTTACTAATGGTCTCAAAAGTGTATCAGCAGTAGTAATGGTGGTAATTTGGACATCTCAAAGATATGAGATGTGAGAAAAGGTAGCTGTTCACAACTTAAGGGAAGACAAACAGTGTATGCAGAGTTAGATACTATCTGTAGTTTCAGGTATCCATAAGGGAGAATTCTGTAAATATGGAATGAGAACACTAAAAGGACATCACAGAAGGCCATAGTCTGATATAAGCAACTCAACAAGAACGTAAGGTACAAACAAAGCACAACAATAAACTTAAAGATTTATAAGATACTGCTTGTTTTTAAAGAAAACAGAATAAGGCCAGGTATGATGTCAAAGACCTGTAATGCGATTCACTCAGGAGGCTGAGGCAGGAGGAAAGTTCGAGGTCAGCCTAGRCAACTTAGAATTGTCTGAAAATGAAAAAAAAATAAAATAAATAAGAACTGGGGATGCAGCTCAGTGATAAATTGCCCCTGGGTTCAAACCCCAAAACAATAACAAAAATCCAACCAGAAGTGCCACTGACTGTACTTTGTGATCCCACTATGTTTAAAAGCAATCCAAGAATGAACCTGGGTAGAATTGCACTTAGGACCATGAAAAACAGAAAGTACTGCAGAAATTCAGGAAATTGATTACTAAAAAGTAGAAAAGGAAGTATGCAAAAGAGCAAAGTAGGAACTTAAATGACAACAAGATTCAAAGGAAAATACCTCATCTTACAAAATGTATATACAATAGTACATGCCACAAGTATTTTTAAAAGGAGTTGAACACTGCATCAAATTGATCTGATAATCAATAGCTCTATTAAGACTTGAAAAGCAAACCCTAGTATCACACAACACTAAATCCGAACATGTGACATTCTGTCAACCAATTTCTTCCTTTTATCATAGTACTGGAAATTGAACCCAGGCCCTCATGCATATAAGGCAAGTGCTCTACCACTGAGCTACATTCCCAGATCTTTTTTATTTGTTTTGAGATAAAGTTTCAGTAAACTGTCAACCAATTTTTATGAAACAAAACTTTTCTCA